AAAATTAAAAAAAAAAAAAAGATAGGCAGATATAAACAAATCTTTATAATACAAAAATCATTCAAATACTGAATGGAAAAGAAATTTATAAGAAATAACAAATAATGTACACATTAGTACATCATATAAAGAATTTAGCAGGTCTGTAAAAGCACTAACTTTTTTTTAATAAGTGGGAAGGAGCTATGAATAAATAATACAATTAAGAGTGTATAAATAGTAAATACTTATGAAAAAATAGTAAATGCTTATGAAGAAATGCATAGGCAAGAAGGACACAGGAAAAGGGTAACTATAGGAAGGAAGTAAGAGGAGAGCTATTATACTGCAGGGAATGGAACCAGTGTCACAAAACAAAATGTGTATGATCTATTGAATGATACATGAAACTGCAGAGTTAACTCAATGGTGAATGGGTTGGGTTTTTGGTTCTTTTATGACTCCATGGGCAGCTGAAAAAGTACCTACCAGTTTTCAGGCATTAAACAAGACAAACAAACCAAAAGAAAAAGGGAACCACATAAAATTTTGGCAATTTCTTGGTTAAAGATGTCACTGTAACTTAAAATAACTCTTTTAGAAAGAAATTTAACAATTTTTCTTACTCCCTACTCGCAGAAATCTAGTTTAAGAAAGTAATGCAAAAGAATACAAAGCTATGCATAAAATCTTTTTAGAGGAGATTATTTACAATAGCAAAAAGGGCAATGATGAAACAAATACAACAGCGCTGCAGTGTACAATTGTACATAATCATTAAGAGATAAAAGAATTGACTGTAGAAACATAGAATTTACTAAGAAATAAAAGATAAAGTAAAAAACTGTAATACAATATAATAACTCTAGAAAATGTAAATGATAGGAATTTATATAAAAACACAGAATTAAATTTTTTGTTTTATGTTTTAATGTTTGATAAAAAGTAAGAACATAGATACATTTAAACTATAAAAGATTATTTTAATTGTCATCAAAGGATAATTTCAGTCTCTGTTCTTCTGTGGGAGTTCCTGGGTAGCATAAGCAGTTGAAAGTCTGGTTGCTAACCAAAAGGACAGAGGTTCAAGTTCACCCAGAGGCAGCTTGGAAGAAAGGCCTAGTGATCTTCTTCTGAAAAATCAGCCACTGAAACTCCTATGTAGCACAGTTCTACTCTTACACCCAGGAGGTTGCCAGGAGTCAGAGTTCACTCAATGGTAAATGGGTTGGGTTTTTGGTTCTTTTATGACTCCATGCTCTCAACTCCTTTGAGATAAGTTTTATGCTTGATGAATCCACAGAAACTGATGTTCTATCATCTTGGCAAAAAAAAAGGAAGTTTTTACATGATAGAAAGCAGTGATGAAGTCTAAAAAGTTGAGGACATTAGAACATGGTAATTTACAGATAAGAAGCTAAGGGCAATACCAATATCAAGAATAACTGTTTCCAAGGCTTTTCTAGTTTTACATTGGGGAAAAAAAAGAAAAGTAATACATATATACATAGCAACAGTGAAGAATCTGTATATTCTCCAAATATTGGCCCTTATAAGTATTATCATGACACAATTGTTTTTAATTATTCTATCCATTTTTACAGACACTGGGGTATCCAGAATCAAAAGAAGCAATCAAAAGAAAAGGGATCATTTTTATTTCAATAAGCTTGCTTTTAGCCTACAAATGCCCAACAAACAGTAGGCTCTGATCAACAGAGAGAATACTATCCATAGACATAGAATAGAAAAGGTGCTGAATCGATGTCAGATAATTGTCCCTTACATGTTTAGGAATTACTATGCAAGTCAATTACCCCAGCCACTCCTCGGAAGGAAGGTTGGGCAATCTACTTCCGTAGTGATACTGCCTCGGAAACCCAAGGAGGGGTCGCTATGAGTCGGGTCCGACTCGATGGCACATAACAACAACAACAACAACATGCAAGTCAACTAAGGTTTTGATCATAAGGGTTTCACATAACTTTTAAGGAAGGTCCTTATGGATTTGGTTTCATCACAACTTAGTTTAAATACAGACCCTACCTTGGAGGCACGTAGTTTTTTCAAATGTCCTCCTGGTTAATTCATTAGTCAGGATGATTTCTGATGATGATCCATAATTGTGATATAGTTTTTTCTTAAAGCTTCTAGATTTTCTGTATTGGTTAGAAAAATCTCCTCAATTACTAGGTTATCAAATAACCTCTTAAATTTTCTTCTAAGATTTTTATGGCTTTATTTATTATTTTTTTTATACTTGTCTTTAATCCATTAAAAAATACATTTTTGAATAACATGTCAGATTGTTATTAGCAGCCATCAAGTTGATTCTGACTTACGCTAACCCCAAGCACGCAGAGTAGAACTGCACTTCACAGGATTTTCAAGGCTGTAACCTTCTGGAAGCAGATCACCAGGCTTTATTTCTGAGGCCTGTCTGGGTGGATTTGAACCACTAACTTCTGGTTAGTAGTGCAGTGCTTAATCATTTGTGCAATCTAGGGACTCCTGTCTAATGGTTTTATATAGACATATTACATCTATAGTTTTTGTTTGTTTTTTGGTACTGTCAGGTTTTGTACTAGGTTGTGCTAACTTTGTAAAATGAATTGATGAAAGTTCACCTTTTTAAATGACATGAAATACTTTAAATAACACTGGAGTTACTTATTCTTTAAGAGTGGCAGAGAGAACTGAGATGAGGCTATATTCTCAATAAAAAGAGACATCAAATTAGACAAACACAGAACAAACAGAAAACTTATTGCATATGCTTAAAGAGATCTTCCATGTTCAGTTAAAATTTGCTTTAAAATTCAAAGGTCAGAAATAGCTCCTTTTAACAGTTAGTCCAAAGGACTAATGGACCATGAGAACCTCATTCTATATGACACTGAGACCAGAAGAACTAGATGGTGCCCAGCTACCAATGCCACTAACCTTTGGAAAGCAATCAAAATTGGAGAGTCTAGAGAGTGGAAGGAAAATGTGGACCAAAACTCAAAATCATAAAAAAAAAAAAAAAAA